GATAAAATAGCATCTTCCCCCTGCCCCCCTTGCCAAGAACTGCAGATCCTTTATTTCTCTGTAGAACACAGGCAATGCATCCCAGTGGCTTTCTCCTGGGAGGAGAGTGAGGAGGATAGTAGGCACAGCAACTACCACAATGGAGTCTGGTTCTTGATAGTAACATAATACATATAATAAAAGGCAAAGTCATTTGCTCTTTGGGGACATGGGCAGGGAATTACTGTGATGGTGAGTACTGGATATAATATCTGAGCAGAAAGACTAAACTGGAATGTATACCACATGCTTTTAATGGCCATGGCCAATTAAGCTTTTCACCCAGAGCACTGCCTGTCAGATGCTGCAATTCATATCAGCAGACAAATCCACCTCTGGCTACTACCCAGGATTGTGGACCTAAGGAGCTGAGCCAAAATGTTTCTCCCCATGCCGTTTCCTTGGACAGTAAAGCACGTGCTCCAAAGGAAGATAAAGGAGGGTTGCAATTTATTGGCAACAAGCTGCATCTGCCAGTTTTGAGAAAAGCTGAAAACGAAAAAGGAAGCCTTGTATGAAATCCATGAAATACTGAGAGATTATATTTTTACCATAATTTCAATAATGAGAATTTTTGTGTTGTGAGTTTCTTTGTCAACCCTAACCCCTTATACTACGTGAATGAAGTTCAAGGTCTCAGTCCTTCAAGACATTCAGTAGTCTAGGTCCTGGAAATTGCAAAGATGATCTATGGTGGCACTGGATTTATGACCCAGATAACTTGTTCTGGGAGGACCCAAGCCCTCAAACTGACCACGATCTCTCCATTTGATAATAGGCAAATTTTATTGATACACTGTGACAGCAGATAATAATAATGGAAACAATTCTAAATCTACCAGTCCTAGAGCTGCAGAGTCAAGGTACACCTGGCCAGTATGCAAGCTTCCCTCTGAGGTTCTCTCCTGAATGACAGATGTCAGCATCCTGCAGGTAGGAGGCCAAGCCCCAGTGGGGTGGGTGAGATGGGCTGGTGATATGTCCTCTATCCAAGGTGGCCTTGGGTTCCCCTTTTGGGGACCCTGTGCTGCTCTAAAATCCCTACTTTTTGTAGTCTTTCTTCCTTCTGATGATTCTTCATTCTTGGGCATCACTGATTGGTCTCTCTGTGGTCATCATACTGTTCACATTCTGTCTTATTAGCATATTTCTTTGTTTCACAAACCCATCACATGCACACATCTTAATCTGGTTCTTTCCCAGTTTCTCCTAATTTGGTCCATCTACCAAAGCTGGAAATCCCAAGAGTTCTGCACTTGGGCACTGTGACTTGGTGCCACTTTATTTCATGTTACGGAACACTGTGCTGCATGCCTTCAATTTCCCAGCCTGTGTGTCTATTTGCCTCTGTCAGATACAGTGGGCCTGAAGAAATTGAAACAAACAGGATTTTTAGAAATCAATTAACCCTTGCCATTGCCCTAGACCATTGTTCTAATGCATACTTACTTTACCTCCAAGCCAATTCCCAAAAGCAAACCTTCAATTACCATTTTCTAGTCATCAATCTGAAGACCAAGATGAGGACTATGGTCAGTAACTTTCTAAATCTTGTCCAAACAGGGGACAGAACTCTCCTGAGGGCTAGTTGGTGACTGTGGAATAATCTCTCATAGGAATGAAGGACCATAAAAAAAACCTCACTATCTGCCTCAGACCTTGACCTTGTTTTCTTCAGTGCAAACCTGGGCCATTAGTATCAAAAAACAAACACAAAGAAAACAAACAACCCCCCCAACCTTCCACACAAAATGTTCTCCTTAGGAAAAGGAGAGAGAATGAACCACACAGGAATCACTTAATGCACAACTGGAAGGTGACTGGATACAATTGGTCATGAGGATATTACAAGAAATTCTACAGAACAGAGCTCCTTGTAGCTGAATAAAATTAAGCCTGGATTTAAATTTTTTTTGTGACTGTGAATCACTTTCACTAATCTGTAATGTAATAGAGGCAAAGGTACATGCCAAGTGTGGTGGAAACTTACCAGAGTCCAGGGAGAGGTGGCAGGACACCGCACCAGCAGTGGAGCACAGCGAAAGTAAAACCACGGTGGCTGGAGCTTCCGTGGATGAAGATCAAAGAAGAAACCTGCGGCAGAACCAGAAGGAGCCAGGAACGGCTCCTGCGTCTGCCTGGGTGCACTTTATAAAAGTGTGCCATGATCGATTGGCCGGGATGGCGTCTGGCTCCCAGACAAAAGGTCTGGCCAGAAGGAAGCCAGAGGGACTGGAAACAGTGTTCCCAGCTGGCCTGGAGGGGCCAGACCAGGCAAACATTCCAGTGGAGGAGGCTTGGTGGCTCCTTCAGAAGGGGAGCACCAAGAGAACATGGGGCCAGCAAGGGCCCGAGGAGCTGCTAATGGAGCCAGCTTGGATTGAGGGCGGCAACTGCAGCGACTGAGACACTGGTGAAGATGACAAGGACAGAACCCTGGCCCAGGAAATAGGCAACAGGTACCAAATTCTGGGAGCAATCGACATGTCAAGGGGGGCTGGAGGCTGGGGGCAGTCTGGCTCTGACTTAACCAAGGGCAAAAGAGGGGCCGTGTGAAATGCTCAGTGCAAGTACTATCACTAGCTGATGACTTCAGCCCCTAAGAAACTGAACTGAAAGAGAGGGCCCGAGTAGTGGCCCTGGCAAACAACATCACAGTTGGCTTTAGGTGGGGTGTAGGGAAGGTGGTGCCCCAAGAAGAAACAACCACGAGGAGGACCTAGGGAAGTACCAGGGGAGGCAGGAGCAGACATCCTCCTCCCGATAAAACCAACTTATGATCAAAGACATGGCAGGCGAGACCCCTGGGGAACTGACCTGAAGTTGCTCCCAGTAGTCTGGCCGTGTAGCCCAAAAAGCCATGGTGAAGTTCATGAAGAATCCCAATGCGCGACACTCAGGGAAGAGGCATGGGAGGCTATACCAAGTTTACCCTGAAAGTCTTACTCAGTTACAGAAATACATATTTTTTTTAATTGTATTTCACAGATGTAGCGGTACATTTTTGAGGGACTAATGTTTATTAATTTTCTATCTGAACAAAATGTCACTTTCCTAGGAGAATCTCTGAAATATACATATAACGAACTTCATTCCATATTTTTGTCATGTAATCCTCAGCAAAGCTATCTTGGAAACATTATTTAGAATAATGCTTTTGGTCTAGTTCTCTCAATTATATTTATATTATCACTGATAATCCCTTTCCATTTTTCACTTTCACTATGCTATCTAAAAATCTATTCATTTACTTTTTAGTGTCCTTGAGGGTTTTTTACCAGCTTTTTAAAAAGAGGCAAATTTTCCTGCTTGACTAACTTATGTTAGTAATTTATGACATGTATGGTGGGTGTCCTTTTGTTCTATAGAGATATGCAGTTTATATAAGATTATATGACTTACGGGAATGTTTACTCCAAAACCGACACAGTCTTAGCAGCATACTGGTGATGAAATAGGGTAAGAATAAGTTGGGATTATTGGATTCTATTTACAGTTCACTGAGGCTACTATTGTGTTGGGTGACCTTGTACAAATCACCAACTTCTGTGTTTCAGTTTGCCCATTGGTCAAATGGATAATACATATCTAAATACAAATTCGAAAACTTTTTGGGATACTTAAAGGTTCTCTGGAAGTACATAAGCATCATCATTTTTAGAATTCAAATGTGAAATACTGCTTCACTTTATACTCACTGACAAAGCAGATAGGTGGTACACTTTTATGACCTCTGCCTCAACAGCAGCATTCAAATACCTGATCCAAACATAACTCCATTCCAGTCAATTGCATCATGCAACTAATTGAGTTCCTTCTTATTAGCAAGTATGACTGGATTTATTTGGTGCAGAACTAGAATCGTTAATGCTCTATTTGTGCTCTGAATTGGACAGGTCTATTTTGACGGATTCCAGTGGTTTTGAAATGTCATCCATTTTCCCCAAATGTGATTGGCCCCTCTCCAAAAGTAGCTCAAAAATGTTAAAGATAACTCTTCAGCATTTAACTTCAGTAACAATGCCCTTTCCTCTACCCCTTACAAATCTGTAAAAAAATCATCTGTTGCCTACAACTGCAGCATATCCTAAACGCATAAACAGTCAGAAAAACAACCAAACACACCCTTGCTATGGAATAACGGTAACGTCTTGCTTAAGAAGGCATCTCTGGTTCTGACTTGCAGAATGACAAGGTTATTTTTCTTTTTTCTAGCTTCCAGCTTGTTATTCTTGAAGCTCAAAAGTGCTGCAATGATTCTATATGCATTTTAAGAAATGAAATGAGTCTGTAAAAAGCCTGGATGGTCTGTTGTACTTGGGGCATTAGATGTGGTTATGTGTCTCAAGGGGAAAAAAAGCCATGATCAAAAACTATGAAATCACAGTGTTATGTATGTTGGCAAAAGGCTGAGATAATACAGCATTTAAAAAAAACCCTGAAGTTAATTTTTAGTATGCTTGTGAAAAAAGTACGAAAAGATGTTACCACAAAAGGTATTTGTAATGAACTTTAACATAGAATAGGTAGGAACCCTAGAATTATAAGTCTGATCTGATCTAACCCAGCATTTTTGTATCAGTTGTTTGCAACTCTCAGGGAAGTCACAAAATGCAATCAAGAGAGTTGTGGGTTTTTGAAAATATTATTAGGTCTCAATCAAAGAAATCCTCACGGCCCTACTGTTCCAATAACTTCACTTTTGAAGTTCAAGTATTCTTTAATCAGCCTCTCAAACCACAACTGCAAATTGTATATATTTATCTTTAAAATGTATACAGTTTTACTTTTACTTTAATAGCAAGTGTAAGGAGTTGACAGTTTATTGAGGTAAGATGACAGGCGCACAGTGTGAAAAGGCTGAAAAAGCCTGCCCTAGGCTCAAACAAGTTCTAGGCTTGATGCAGGACTCACTTGCTGCAACGCTACCATTTGCAATATGAGGATAAATCAGCTGATCACAAAGGTCATAAAAGCAAAACTGTGTAAGGTGTGCACTAGTTAGCATGTGCAAGATCAAAAGTGTGCCTCCATGAGCAGATCCATGGTGACCAGTGCCACTGCCTGAAGCACAGGTTGGCATGGGTCCTGACAAGGAAGTGTGAGAGGCTGTCAAGGTACATCACATCCACAGCTCTCCCTGCATCCACAGAGCCAATCATCTTATTACAGAAGGTGTGACCCTCCTGGGACCTTACCAAAAGGGAGGAGATCAAGTCCCTTTCTGTTCCCCTGCCACAACTTGATGAGATGCAAAATAATATTATACAAAGAAGGAGGCTCCAGTAATGGGTTGTGACAGTCACTTTAAATACAAGCTTCTCCCCTTTTGGAGTGTTTTTTGATGCCCCACCTCTCCTACACCTCTTCTACATGGCAACCAGATTGTAGTTCAAGTGGTATTCACCAGAACAGTATGTAATAATATGTCCTGCCACCCCTCTGTATTAGGGCAAAGTCAGGCATGTCAGTCCGGCTAATTAAATAATAATGAATAGGCATTCACCTTATTAGTCCACAATCAGTACTGACTCAAATAAATGAAATCAAATTATCGCTGTATATGTATGTCTTGCTCTGGCATCAGCCTTTTGGTATGTCCAAAAAGAAAAAAAGAAAATTACAATAGGGCGATTAAATTTGTCATCTTATATCGCCAGCTATTTGGTGCTTTGTGAATTCTGACTCACGTGACACTTCATGATGATCCTCCATCCATCTGTGGCTCTCCAGTTATCCTTATTCCTTTAACTGGTCACCTGCTGTGTGGTTGGGGACTCCTCTGAGTCCTCCTCCAACAAGCTTCTCTGGGCTAAAACCTTGGAGCCTCTATCTTTCAGCTCTGTGAGGCTCAGGACCCTTGTGGCAGCCCTTGCCAGGCTTAGCAACCCATGCTTGGGTCAGAGCCTGTATGCAGGGGTTTTCAGAGCAGCCTCCACATTGCTCCTCTTGCTCAGCAGTCCCCTGATGGTTTAAATGGCCCACTCACTCCATTTCTGGGTGTGCCTTTATGACATCGCTCCCTGCATTTCTTCCAATGCATAGGGAGCACGTATGTCTAAAGAGCCGTGCTAGTGGCATGTGCTGCTGTCGTTTCACCGCTCTGGGACCTAAAGGTAAATCCTCTTTGTTGGCAGCCCTCCCCAAGCCACTTCACCCCACAGCAGGGGTCATATTGGAGCATATGCCACCCCATATTCTTGAGGCCCCGTGTGAGTCACCTCAGCCAGCAATAGAAGGCAATCAGGTTGGTCAGGCATGACTTACCCTTGATGAATCCATGCTGACTGTTCCTAATCTCCTTCTACTCCTAAAAGACATCGGAAATGGATTCCTTGAGGACCTGCTCCATGATTTTTCAAGGGACTGAGTTGAGACTGACCAGTCTGTAGTTACCTGGATCTTCCTTCTTCCCTTTCTTAAAGATGAGCACTATGTTTGCCCATTTCCAATCATCCGGGACCTCTCCCAATCACAGTGAGTTTTCAGAGATGATGGCCAGCAGCTCTACAATCACATCAGCCAACTCCCTCAGCACACTCAGATGCATCACATCCAGCCCCATAGAACGACAATGTCCAGCTGTTTTAAATATTCCCTAACCTGGTCTTTCACCACTGTTAGATGCTTACCTCCTCCCCAAACTGCTGCCAAGTGCAGTAGTCTGGGAGCCGACCTTGCCTGTGAAGACCGAAGTGAAAAAGCATAAAGTACTTCAGCCTTTTCTGCATCCTCTGTCACTAGGTTGCCTCCTCCATTTAGTAAAGGACCCATACTTTCCCTGATCCTCCTCTTGTTGCTGACATACTTGTAGAAACCCTTCCTGTTATCCTTCAAATCCCTTGCTAGCTACAACTCCAGCTGAGGTTTGGCTTTCCTGATTTCATCCCTGCATGCCCAAACAATACTATTATACTCCTCCCTAGCTGTTTGTCCAAGCTTCCACTTCTTGTCCAAGCTTCCTTTATGTATTTTAAAGAGTATTTTAAACACAGAAGAGTTCCCTTCTAAACCAAGGTGGTCTTCTGCCATACTTGCTAGTCTTCCTGCATACTGGGATGATTTGTTCCTACACGTCAGTATGGTTACTTTAAAGTATGGTCAACTCTCCTAGACCCCTCTCCCCCTCAGAGTGGCCTCCTAGGGGATCTTGGCTATGAGTTCCCTGAGAGAGTCAAAGTCTGCTTTTCTGAAGTCTAGGGTCCATACTCTGCTCTCCTTCCTTCCTTTCCTCAAGATCCTAAACTCAATCATTTTGCTATCATTGCTATCCAAATTGCCATCCACTCCAACAATTCTTCCCTCTTTATGAGCAGCAGTTGCCCACTCCTGCTTGCACTTCCTTCAGGTCACCTACTTCCCCACTTACCTCAGGGCTTTGGTCTCCATCCCTTGGTGAACTTAGTTTAAAGCCCTCCTCACTAGGCTAGTGAGTCTGTCTGAAAAGATACTCTCTCCTCTTTCCATCAGGTAAATCTCATCTCTTCCTAGCAACCTTCTTCTTGAAACAACATGGTCAAAGAAGCCAAAGCCCTCCTGGCAACACCATCTGCGCAGCCAGGCATTGATCTGCAGGACGCATGCACTCCTGCCTGGGCACTTTCCCTTAACCTGAAGGATGGAAAAGAATACCACCTCAGCCCCTGTCCCTTTCACCCTTGCACCCAGAGACCTGTAGTCACTTTTGATCTACTTAGGGTCTCTCCTGGCCTTAAGTATTACTGGTGCCCACATGGATGAACAGCATGGGGTAGTAGTCAGAGGGCTGGATGAGTCTCAGTAATCCTTCCTTGACATCTCAGATCTGGGCTCTGGACAAGCAGCAGACCTTCCCGCCCCAAGACAACAGGTCAGGCCAGCAGATGGATGGCCCCATCCTCCTCAAAAGGAAGTCTCCAACTATCACCATCCAATGCTGCTTCTTGGTGACAGTGGTCTTGAGCCTTCCAACTTTGGGGAGGCCTCACTTTTCCTCCTTCACCAACAGAATGAGCTTCTCCTTCTCTGTTACTAGGGCTCCATATCTGCAGGACCTTCCCTAGGGTATGGTGAATCAGGGCGACTGCCTTGGGCCCCACGCTTTGAAGGACACCACACTTCGACATCACAGCAAGGAAAGTCTTAGCAGAAGTCAGAAAGCTGGAGCCGGAGCCAGAGTTGGACTCATGCAGCACCCCGTAAACACCCTGTTCCAGACCTCCCTGCAGGGTGCAGAAGAGGCTACCATGGCCCCAGCAGGGTGTGGCAGCACCTCATGGGATAGGCTAGCAGCAGGTGAGCCCTGCTTCTGGCTCTAAGGGCTGTGGCAGAGGTACTGCCTAACGCCCACCCTGCAGTACAGCCTGGCCCGGAGCCACACCCTAGGGGTGTGCGGGGCCCAGGACATATCACCCTGTGCAGGGCCCGGGGGAGGGGGTGTTGAGCAGCTGGAGCCAACAGTGCTCAGTGGTGGCAAAGCTAACAGCGCTCGGTGGTGATGGCAGAGCTGGTGGTGCTCAGCAGCGGCCAGCAATGTGTGGCAGCCGCAGCAGGGTCTGTATGGCTCTGTCCGTGGAGTCCCCACAAAGTGTGGGGCCTGGGGCAGTTGCCCTGATTCACTCCCCTGGGGACAGCCCTGCCCTGACCTTTTCCTTTTGAATTAATATCATGCATAGTTTGTTGTATATACAAGTAGGTAGGCACTAAAGTATTGTTTAATAGTGTGTTTATGGAGTACCTGTGCTAAAATTTGCAGCAATTTCAGAAAAGGTAAAATGCATCAATTCTGGGTGAACTAAATCTATGGATACTATATGGAAATTGCTACAGCTATGTTTATTTCAAGGTCA